GCCTCCTTCCTGCACTTGACCCAACCAGGCTGGGGATCAAATCTGCAATCCAGGTAAGTGCCCTTGACCGGGAATTGAATCTGAAACCCTTCAGTGGGTGGGCCACTGAGCAATGCCAGCCAGTCTCTGGCTGCCTGGTTGTCTATCAGGCCCCTCAAATTTAGCATGCCTAACTGAACTCTTGATTCCTTCTCTACATACCTTTACCCTGTTCTTCCCCTGTTGTTCCCATCTCAGAAATGGTAATTCACTATGTCCAAAACTTTGGGGTTCTCCTTGGCTATTTTCTGTCTCTCATGCACCTTATCTAATCAACTCCAAAATCCTGTCAGCTATTCCTTCAAAATCTCTCCAGAATCTGACCACTTACCACCCATATGGACTCCATTCTGGTCTAAAACACCATCATCTCTTACCTAAATTATTGTTATCCTCCCTTAACAGGTCTTCTTGTTTCTGTCCTTTTTCCTGGACCTATTTTCAATATGGAAACCAGAGGGATTCTGTTAAAACATAAGTCCAATCCTGTCATTCCTCTGCTCAAAATCTTCCAATGGTTCCCTCTCAGGCAGTGTAAAAGTTGGAGTCCTTACCTTGGCCTACAAGGTTTTAGATTGAACTTTGCTCTCTGATTTCATCTACTTCCCTCTTCCTATTGCTCATTCTGCTCCTAGCCACATCTGATCTTTCTAGAAAATGCCAAGCATTCTTCTGCTTCAGAACATTTGTATTGTTTATTCTCTACGCCTCTGCCCATCTTCAAATGTTTGCATGGCTCATACCTTTATTTTATTCAGATTTCTTCTCAATTGTTCCTTTATTAGAGGAACCATCCCTGACCACATTATAACACACCCCATCACTTTCTCTTCCTCTTGTCCTGCTATATTTTCTCCACAACCAATTTTGTTTACTGCCTGTCTCTTTACATTGGAAGTTAAGGCCTTGAGGGCAATAAAACATGTTTATTGGGGGTATACTATGTGCCAGGTTCTTTTGTAGGCACTGGGGATATAAAAGTAAACAAAACAGACAGATAGTAATATTCTTACAGCATTTCCATTCTGATATGACACAAATATTTTCTCAGTAACTATTTGATAAATGCATTTAATAAATATAGCATATACTCAACAGAGTGACAGGAATGGTTCCAAAATAAAGGAGACTTAGATTGGCTTGTCACTCTTGAACTCACTGGAGAATCCATCACATCTAAAGAAATGGTTGTATAGCCTCCCAGATGAAAGGCTGGAAATCTAATAAAATCCCATGACTCACAGACATTACATACTCCTAACTCTCAGGGGCTCTTAGATTCCTCCCAGTTTACTGCTTAATGAAAAATATCTGTGATTGGCACAAAGTGACTAGAGTCTAGTGACTGACTAGAGTGTGTGGAGGGGACAACCCCTGGCATGCGTGTCAAACATGGCACGCCAGTAACTTTTGCTGGCATGCGAAACCCTCTCTTATAATATTCCATGCCGGGAGCCGGTCCATGCTTGCTGTTTTGAGGGACCTGGCATATATGGCATACTGTGTTTTAACCAAGGTCTCCTCTCTGAGAAAGGTTGTTTCCCCAGGTAGGGATTTTCCCCTGAAGTTAGGGAGGGAATAAAACCTCTTAACTAAGTGCCAGGCGGGTAATTAATCACTTTAACTACGAACAATCATGCTTAAGCTACATAATCTTTACTCCCTGGAATGGAGATAAGAAACGCCCTAACCTTTGTAATAGAGATTGATAGGATTGGAATCAACTGGTATAAATACAGATGTAACAAGACAGAAAGAGACAGAACTTAGAAGACAGAACCAAGAGAGACAGAACCTAGGCACAGTACCTACACAGAACATTCTCTAGAGACAGAAGAACTTCGCTGGAGAGAACATGGCAAAAGATCCTGGACAGAAACTGGCCTCAGAACCTAGAGACAGAACCTAGCGAGAGAACATGGCGAAAGATCCTGGACTGAACCTGACTACAGAAATTGGCAAGAGAACCTGACTAGAACCTGGTGACTGAACCTGGCTGGAGAACCTGGACAGAACCTGGCTGGAGAACCTAGCAAGAGAACATGGACACGGAACCTGGCTGGAGATCCTAACCAGAACTTCGCTGGAGATCCTGACTAGGCTGCTGATCAACTGAACACTGTGTCCATGTCATTCCTTCTTCACCGACTCCGTCCACACCTTTGGGGGCCCCTGGACCTGCTGGGGTTGGATCCCAGCAGTTCCATTTACAATTTTTGTGAACATCTGAATGACTTAAATGTTAAATTACAAGGAACTGGCAAGACACTTGATGTTATGTTTGGTTACATAAAGGCTTTGGAAAAGAAACTGGAAGTCTTTAAGAGGGATGTGGATGGTGAGAGATTTAGATATTTCCTAAACCTCAAGAGGCACATCAAAAACCTCCCAAAAGATGACAGAACAGACTGTCAAAGCCTTCAAAAGCTGTTTTTAAACATCATCGAGTCAACTATTGAGCAGTTCTTCTCAAGATTTGCGAAATTCAGAGAACTGGAAGAGACATCAAAATTCATGAGGTTTCCAGAGAGCATGAAACTGGAGGAACTAAACTTACAAATGTTTTCATGGATAGACATGGCTGACTTTGAAATGCAGTTGATTGAATTTCAGAGTAGCTCAATTTGGAAGCAGAAATTTATTGATTTTAGAGTTGACTTGGAAAACATTGAAAAAAGCGATTAGAGACAGGAGTACCAGAGAGAAGTGTCACAAATGAACCATTGAGGACTTGGAATGCCATTCCAGAAATTTTTTTCTGTTTAAAAAATTTTGCAACAGCGTTACTCTCCATGTTTTCATCCACATATGCTTCTGAATCTTTGTTCTCAGTGATGAATTTTGTTAAGTCTTGTAATAGGAGTAGCGTGACGGATGAAAGTAGTAGCTCCTGCATATCTCTGAAGGTCACGAAATATAAACATGATGTAAAATCTCTGTCATCAGTGATGCAGCAGCAAAAGTCCCACTGATAATATCAAATGGAGTCATAAAGTTTTCTGGCAGACTATCAGTGTACATGTATACATTAAAAAATAAATGTATTTTTCATCATCATATACTGTGTTTTTGTGGCTTGAATGAATTTTATTATTTCTTCAAGGTTCTTCACATACGTACACCTTAAGAGATATCAAGTAGGCATAACATGTTCTCCAAAAATTAGGGTTGGCACGCAGAAGAATTTTGAGTCAGAGATTTTGCTGGTTTTGGCACGCACTCACAAAAAGGTTACCAATCCCTGGACTAGAGTATCAGACCAGGAGGAATTAGATTAGAAATGCTAGAAACTAGTGAGAGGCTTTGGACTTTGCCAGAAAAAGACTAGTTTTCATCAAAACAGAATAAACACTCTAAGAAAGATCAGAAGCAAAGGTGCTGGTATCCAGATCCAGATAAAGTGGTTTAGGAAAGTGGAATATGCTTCCTTCTTTAAGAGAAAAAAATGGGAGGCCAAGGGAAGAGGTAAACTTTAGAAACGATTGGACTTCCCACTTGGAGAGGAAGGTCATATTATTCTTACCATCTCTCTCCTCTCCTTCTTAGCAATTAGGGAATATGAGAGATTTCATTGGGAATAGCCTCAGGGGGAGAGTCAAAGGTGGAAAGACCTACATGCATCAAAGGTGAGGTAACTGGGAGAGGAAAGGGCCCATGGCTGTCAGTACTCAGCTTCAACATAGCCTTCTGAAGACTTCCAGGAAACTGGTTGCAAGTGAATAACAGTTGACTTTTACTTCATGGACCACATTTCCTAGGCTTAAACTTGGTCATCAATTGTATGCAAAGTGTCTGCTCTAGAGAATAGCCCCACTGGTCCAGTTCTGCATTCTGCATTCAAGGGCTCAATGCTGCTGCTACCTCCAGTGACTAGACCATTCCACTTATCTTATTTCTCTTTCTTTTTAATTATAGGGTCCTTGTTCTGAGCTCTTTCTCAGACTTCATCCAGTTCTGTTTCTTCTGGCCCCTACAGACAAAGTCCTGGCCCCATTCTTAAATAGCACATGCCTCCTGGAATTGCCTCCATCATTGGCCCTTACTTACATTGACAAATGTCACTTAAAAATCTCATTTGCATCTTTATAAAATTATAGTTCTTTGTAACCCCCAGAAATATATCTTTGGCAGAGGTATCCAGCACATGCTGTCTCTGAATCCAGATGGCTTTGCAGCAGCCCCGAGCTATGCATTCTACAAACTACTGTGCCAAAGAAGTAGTGTTCTAACAACTGACAAAGTAATATTAAAATAGGGTGATTCAAAGACCCTGCCCAGGAGCTAGCTCAACATCTTGTTATGCCCCACAAAATGCATTGCTAGTTGACTCAAATCTATTTTACCTTCAATAGGAATGGTTTTCATGGCACATCATAACCTAGCTGAAGGGGCAATAAACACCATCAACTTACATTATAAATACCAACAATTTGCCAGATACTAGTCTACATTCTCTGGTTATACAAAGAGAAATAAATTCCTGCCCTTAATATATTTACTAAGAAGATCTAGAAGCTCTAGTTAATGTTTGAGCATGGTAGCTGATACTAATACTGACATGCTTATCATTGGAATGAATATATCATGTAAGTGCCACCATGGCACAACACTATGTCAACTCCAAGAATAGCACTGAATCCTCTTGGTGGCCTTAGTAGATATGGGATGTCCCCAGGAGAGATGAGGTCCTTATGGAGGGTGCTCTTGAAAGATACAAATGCTGCTATGGCTCTTAGACATACTGTGAATGAAGTGAATCTATCTGGAGTTGCAGGAGAGAGGATTCTGTGTGATCAATTCTATGTCAAATGACTGATGGGTGTAGCCTAGGCTAAAAAAACATCTGTTATTCTGGGTCTGTGAACAATCTATTAGATGGTGAAGCACACTTGAGAAGCTAGTTATCAGAATGGTACTCACATTAACTGAGATATGATAAAAGATCACCTAAGCAGACTTACCATCTGCTCCTTCACTGCTTTTGCTTCTTTTATTTCGACGGACACGCCTACTTTCTGCTTCAGTGTATGACTTTTCTTCAGGGAAGAAAAGATTCAGCAGGGCCATCTGTAAAAACAACAAATAGATGAATGAAAGGTTGAACCCAGTCAACCATAGCTGACACAAAAAACTAGTTTCCTGTACACATTCTAGCTTCACCTCAAATTCAGCATGTCTAAAACTTGAGCCCATCTTCCCCTCCACTGTAGAAATCCTTTTATTTTTGTTACCATTATTATTCCAGTCATGTAGACATGAAATTTTGACTAATCTCTGAATCCCCTCACTTCTGCCCTGAATGTCTAATGACTAATCCTCCGAGTCCCATTTCTCCATACATTTCTGGGATTCAGAGAGCCCAGTCATGGATTTCTAATTTCCCTCATGTACTACTGATGTCTGCCCAGAATTAGACTTGAGTTTGCAACTCCCTCTCGAACTTCATTAATGTACATTCATAAACTTCCCACATTCCTATTTATACTAAACTTTTGGTTTGTTCCCAGAATGCTCTGCATCCAGTTATGATTGGAAGATGCCATTTATGTAAACATTCTTCTGGGAGTTAATCATAACAAAATACATACTTATTTTCTCTGTTTCCTAGACTCCTACAGAGCTCCTATAGCAGTTGGGTGTATAAGACTCATTTTGGTACTTGATCCTTTACTCTCTTATGATGATCTCTCATAATAATACAATATGTTTCATATGTGAATGGGCCTGGTTTCACTAATGATAACCACAGCTTAAATATGTACTTGCTAAAATGAATCATAATATTTCAGCATACAGTAAGTGCCTCTCTGTGGTTAAAAGCATGCTTGAGCTAAATAGTGGACAGAGTAATAGGAATGAGAGTGATTCTAATCCGACTTGCCAATTATAGCTGTGTAGCCTTGAGCAAATTACTTGAGTTTTAATTTCCTCATCTGTAAATAGAGATAATAAATAGTACTTTGCTCCTAAAATAGTTAAAGGGTTAGCACAGTACCCAGCATGTAATATGTACTCAATAAGTGTTAGCTATTATTATTATTATTATTATTAAAATCAATCTTCCAAATAGACTGGTTAGAGAGTTTGGGGGTTAAAAAAGAAGTGAGTCTGCATTTTCACCCTAGTGTTAATGTTAAAAAAATAAACAACTTTAGAATCCTCACGTCTGCTGCATCTCTTGTTAATTGAAAACAAAAAGTTTGTACAACTCACGAAAGCCTTATCATTCTATACTAACTTTCTTCAAAACCCTGTGCTTTACTGTTTACATAGAACAATTATACACAACAGCCTTAATGTACAAGATTAGCATCTTGCATAATATATTGTTGTGTTAAATAAATATACAGTTAATAAGTGAATGCTTAGGTAATTTCCAACTTGTCATAAGGTTAATTTAAAAAAATTTAAGTTGAATAATATGAAACTCATTTTTGTGAGTAAAAAATGGTCAAATATTAGCAATTGCACATGGTTCAACTGAGCAGTATTTTTGAATCACTTGATTGGAATGTAAAATGCATTTTCCCATAAAATCAACATAATAAACTCTGGCTAGGTTTCCAGACAAAGCCCATAGAAAGTTACTTAACCCATAACATAAATAAGCTATTATACTACTAAAAATATAAACCCAAACTGATATTTACAATAAAATCTCAATCATTTGAAACTCCAAAAGAACAAGTCTACCTGGATTGAAGAGTTTTCTTGGTAATTCTGAGTACTGAAACTTATTTCAGCTATTTTTAATAGAAATTAATCCACAATATGTGATTTAATTCAGGGCTTCTTGGAGGAGGTGTTACCTCTGTGAGTCCTGAATGATGTCAATGATTTAGTGATGGAAAACAAAAAAGAGCCCAAGCTGATTTGGCTCAGTGGATAGAGCATCAGCATGAGGACTAAAGGGTCCCAGGTTCGATTTTGGTCAAGGACACATGCTTGGGTTGTGGGCTCGATCCCCAGTGAGGGGTGTGCAGAAGGCAACCGATCAATGATTCTCTCTCATCATTGATGTTTCTATCTCTCACTCCCTCTCCCTTCCTCTCTGAAATCAATAAAATTATATTTTAAAAATAAAACAAAAAAGGAAGTTCCAGGCGAAAGGAGCATTGTGCTTAAAGGTTCAGAGGAAAGAGAGAGAATAGCAGTTTTTGGAAATACAAGTAAATTAAAATAAGGGGTAGGAGGTTGGGAATAATGTTAAAGAATGAGCCAAAAGACATTAAATAAGGGCTAGATCATGTTAAGGAATTTAGATTATCCTGCAGCAGGGGGATCCTCTGAAAGATTTTTCCCCTTTGTAAATGCTGTACTTTATGAAAATTTAAGTTGTAATCTACATACAATAAAATGCACACATTTTAAGTATAAAGTTTGAAGAGTTTTGAAAAATGCACACACCTTTGTAACCACTACCCAAATCAAGACAGAACATTTCCATCATCCCAGAATTTTTTCTTATGGGCCTTCCAGTCATTCTTTAATGCAATCTCCCACCCAACACAACCACTCTTCTGATTTCTATCACCACAGCTTAGTAATTCCCATTCTATAATTGCACATAAATGAAATCATACATTATGATTGTATGATATTTGTGTGTTGTTACTTTCATTCAACAATGTCTGTGAGACTCATCCATTTTGCTGTGGGTATCAGTAGTTCATTCTTTTTTATTGCTGAGTAGTATTTTATTGGATGGATATATCACAATTTCTAAATTCATTTACCTTTTGAAGGACATTTGGGTTATTTCCAGTTTGGGGCTATTTATAATAATAAAAGCATAATATGCAAATCGACTGAATGACCGAACAGCAGAATGACCGTCTGGACGACCTTCCGGACGACCACACTATGACACCCACTGGTGCTAGGCCAGCCAAGACAGGTGTGATACGATTGGTCGGGAGCCCAGCCATCGTCTCCATGATCACCCTGCAGAGGTAGGCCCAGGCCACCAGTCGGCGGGGGCAATCAACCAATCAAGGGACTCCATGATTGCCCCAAAGAGGGAGGTCCAGGCCACCAACTGGCAGCGGCACTGCGGCGGGTGGCGGGGCCTCCCTCTGCAGGAGTGATCCATTGCAGAGCGTCAGATGAGTGGGCAGGGCCTACCTGTTTGGGGAGATTGATGCGGGGCTCCCAGACTGTGAGAGGGCACAGGCTGGGCTGAGGCAAACCCCCCCCCCCCCAGTGCATGAATTTTGTGCACCGGGCCTCTAGTTATGAATAAAGCTGATGAGCACTCATGTACAAGTGTTCGTGGGGGACTTATGTTTTCATTTTTCTTGGGTAAACACAAAGGGGTGGAACCTCTGGGTTATATATTAAGTATTTGAACTAAGGAACTGCCAAACTGTTTTCCAGAGTGACTGTACCATTTTATACTCCCACCAGCAATGTATGAGAGTTCCAGTGCTCTGCATTTTCATAACACTATATTGTCAATATTTTTTATTTTAGCCACTCTTGTGGATGTGAAGTAGTTTTACTGTGGCTGGTTTTTGAAATCTTAACCTTTTTAACGCTTTTTTGTGTCTTACCTTGCTGTCAACTACCAGATTTCACTTTACTAACCTGCAACATCTTTTCTAGTCCCTTAAAATTTGCTACTTATAATGTTATAGGCTTAACATCTTGTTAAAACTAATTAGAATCATGTAGAAACAGAATAAACAGGTAGTCAATGAGTTTTTGAATAGTTTTTCCAATAAATAAGATGCACATTCTCTGGCAGCTTAGAGGCCATTTGTTTATTGCTCAATCTGGATAGGTGAATTTGTCAGAAAACTGAGTTTTACATGATGTGTCATTACAATATAATGCTATTTCTGGGGAAAAGGAATTTTGAAGTCCAAATGAACAATCTCCCCACCATCACAACTACAATTCCAGAATTTCCTTCACACTCTTTGTGTTCTGGCAGGGCCTCCAGCACCTTCTTGTGCCCTGATGTCAGCAGTAAAATGTGCTTACATATTAATTGTTCCAAAGGGTCTGATGGGAGTTTGTAAGAATTTAAGAGTGATACAAAATCTTGTAGATAGCAGATACAACTCCAGTTTCTATGGGTACTAGGGGTAGCTTAAAATCCCTTAAGAGAGGCTATGGATGAGTATGGGACATTCATAAATCAAGTGTTTATTAGTTGGGGACTATCTGTATATGAAAATGCTTAAAAAATAGTTTCTATTTTCTCAATAAAAACTGAAAGGAAACAACACAAAACACAGCTTAAACTGAAAGAGGATCCCTATTCACAGTGCCCTTTTGTTTATTGCTCAATTCCCGAGTCTCAATTAGATGAAAGAGGGAAAACTATCCTCTGTGTAGTATAATGGTAAGGACAAAAAATCAGTGGCTGCTCATACAAAAAGTCTGCAATTCTAGCTTGAGTGTTGCATTCATTAGCATGGCCTTCTGAGGCAAGTTGCAAAATATGAACAAAACAGCTTTCTCTCTTCAAATATTGCTTTCTTATTGCACAAGGCAGGAGGCATCAGGAATGTTGGCCACAGCCAGGCATTTTGCTCAAGGGAAGAACAGTCTAATTCTTTACATTTTATTAACTGATTACTCCCTTGTTTCCTATGGTAAAATTACATGGTAAACAGCACCTGCAGATTACAGAGATCTCAGCTGGAAACAATTCGTTAACAGTGATACACGAGAGATGCATCCATTAGTGCTAGTGACTCTCCAGATATTGTTACAACATTTTTTCCTAATATTTAAACCCACAAAATTTTATTAGGTACTTTTTTCTTTTTACCATGACATAGAACAAATTTAATTAATTTCATGGCTAATATATTTGATTGTATTAGCTCTGGGCCTGTCCCAAAGTAGGTCTCTAATAAATAAATATCTGTTGAAAAGATAATAGGACTATCAGTAATCCATTCCTTAACCAGTTAACTGCCACGATATTTTGAATTTAATTAAAAAAGGTCCACTGCTTGTGTCTATAGACAGTTATGGTGTACAAACGGTTAAAGACAGGATTTTATTTTACCCTAATTGGACCTCATTTCTTAGGATCAACCATGGAGAGGTAG